TCCATACAAATCTGATGATTTTTTGTTCCATTTCTTTAAAAAATGCTGATGAGATTTTGATGGGGATTGCATTAAATCTGTAAAATGTTTTAGGTAATATGGTCATTTTAACTATGTTGATTCTTCCAATCCAAGAACACGGAATATCTTTCCATTTCTTTGTATTTTTTTTGATTTCTTTTAATAGGGTCTTATAGTCCTTCACATGTTTTGTTAAATTTATTTCTAGGTATTTTATTCTTTTTCTTGCAATTGCAAAAGGAATTGTTTTTTACCACTTCTTTTCTGACACTTCATTATTAAAGTATAGGAACGCTATGGATTTTTGAACGTTGATTTTGTATCCAGAGACTTTACTGTATTTGTGTTATATCTTTCTCTTACCTGATTGCACTCACTAGGATCTCTGATGTTATATTGAATAACAGTGGCAATAGTGGACAGCCTTGCCTTGTTCCTGATCTTAGAGGGAACATTTTTAGTTTTTCACCATTAAGTATAATGTTGGCTGAGGGGTTGTCATATATGACCTTTATTATATTAAGGTACTTTCCTTCTATACCAATTTTGTTAAGTGTTTTGATCATAAATGGATGCTGTATCTTGTTGAAGGCTTTTTCTGCATCTATTGATATGATCGCATGATTCTTATTTTCTAATTTGTTTATGTAGTGTATCACATTAATCAATTTGCGTATGTTGAACTATCCGTGTGCCCCTGGGATGAAGCCCACTTGATTGTGGTATATAATCTTTTTAATATGTTGCTGTATTCCGTTCGCTAGTATCTTATTTAGAATTTTTGCATCTGGGTTCATGAGACTGTAATTTTCTTTTTTTGTGTTATCTTTTCCAGGTTTTGTATCAAAGTAATATTGGCCTTATAAAATGAGTTGGAAAGTATTGCCTCCTCTTTGATTTTTTGGAAGAGTTTGAGGAAAATAGGTATTAAATCTTCTTTGAGTGTTTGGTAGAATTCACTGGTAAAGCCATCTGGTCCTAGACTTTTACTTTTTGGTAGGTTTTTGATGATTGTTTCAATTTCTATACTGCTGATCGGTCTATTTAGATTTTTCAGTTCTTCTTGATTCAGTCTAGGAAAGTTGTATTTTTCTAAGTACTGGTCCATTTCTTCTAGGTTATTAAATTTGGTGTTATATACTTTTTTATAGCGTTGTGTGATTTTTTTTATTTCTGTGATGTCAGTCGTAATTTCCTCTCTTTCATCCCTGATTTTGTTCATTTGTGTCCTTTCTATTTTTTCTTTAGTGAGTCTAGCCAGGGATTTGTCAATTTTATTAACTTTCTCAAAGAAACAGCTCTTTGTTGCATTTATTTTTTCTACCATTTTTTTTGTTTTCAATTTCACTTATTTCTGCTTTAATTTTGAGGATTTCTTTCCTTCTGCTGACTTTAGGCCTCATTTTTCTTCCTTCTCTAGTTTTTTTTAAGATGAAGCGTTAGGTTGTTAATTTGGGCTTGTTCTTGTTTTTGGAGATAGGCCTATAATGATATGAACCTTCCTCTTATGACCACTTTTGCCATGTCCCAAAGTTTTAATATGTTGTACTATCATTATCATTCGTTTCTATGTATCTCTTGATCTCCCTTTTTATTTCTACTCTGACCCAGTTATTCTTCAGTAGTATGTTGTTTTAGAGCCCTCATTCTTAATTCCCTCACACTATGCCACCCAGTCAGTGGACAGCAAATGTGCCCAAATTCATTAACAGAGAAATTAAATTTAATCAACAATGAGATCCTATCTTTTCACCCACCAGACTGGTAAAACTTACTGTAAAGTCTGATAAAATCTACCATTTGTGAAACTGTCGGGAAACAGGTTTATAAGAGTGTATATTTTGGTGTGTAATTTGACAGTACCAATTAAAACTTAAAACGTGCATAAACTTGGATGCTGGAAAATCTGGAAGACTATAAATTAAACTGTTAAGAATGGTTATATCTAAGAGGATGAGATTTGGTAAAACTTGTTCTTTTTAAGTTAGTATTGCTATAATGTTTGAAGTTTTTACAATAGGGGACAAGAAAAAAAGTTGCATTGACATAGGTAAGTATCATGGTGGCTAAAGTCCAAAATGAAATGAATATTTCTGGGATATTAAAAGGAAATGTTAGCAACTGATGATTAGATTAGATGGCTTATAATATTTCTTTCAACCCTACTATAAATTCTACTACTTTGGGAATTAAGAAATGATTCCTAGAGCCACATAGTGTACTTTTCTAAACAATTCATAATTTCTTTTGACAGTATTCCTAACAAGTAGTTATAAACCTCTTAAACATACACTCTCCAATTTGAGTCCAAATCCCAGATCATTCTGTCCTTAAATATTACTTGTGCATTTTATACCATATTATATATTAATAATTAATCATGGCTTATTTGAAGTAAACTCTATGAAATAAAATACAAACGTTCCTCTATTTCTTGCCATATTACATTCTTAGAAACCTTATTCCTGACAAATGAAGTCATCCACACTGATAAATTTGTTTATATAGTGCAATCATTTTCTTTGCTGCTAGATGGTTGGCTGTTAACACCAACAGGTGTTAATAAATAAGGAAGTAAAGTAAGAAGGGATTACAGGTATGATTAACATGTCCATCTGTGAATAGGCAAAGGAAAACTATCAAATTAAAAGAAGGAAGCAAACCATATGCATATTAAGAACTTACTATAAACATTAAAAGGAAAGTTCAGAACATGAGCAATAAGTAAAAAATAGAAGGAAACATTTTAAAATATCTTGTTAATTGTCAAAGTCTTGAAGAACTAATTGGTGTCACAGATTCTGAGATCTATTCTTTATCTTGATGTCCACAGTTCAGATGTAGTATTACTGTTTTTCTTCTCTACCCCTAGTTTACTGCAGCATTTTACCCAGAAGCTACAAAGTTATTTAGGCTATTTTTACTTCAGTTCTTGTGGGTACCAAAGGCTAAAAGGGTCTAAAAAATGTATGTTTTCAAATAATAAACATCTGATTTTCTCACTAGTTTCTAAAGTTATTTTACATACTCATTTTTCTACTGAGGCACAGACGTATAAGTTTAGACTCAATTTTTCTAGAAACTAATCAAGTAAAAGCTAAAATTTGATTTGGCTTTAGCTTTAACAATACAACAGAAATCTAGTGTACAAGAGAATGCTCATTTTAAACCATTGTAAAGGCTCTACAGAACTTACATTAAAGTTGTAACAAGTTAGGCTGTTTGGTCATATTAAAGTCTAACAAAAAGGAAGTGGAATGTCTTTATATAACTTAGAAAATCATAATTTTTCATGATCAAAAATATTTGGCTGAATTGTTTAGAAAAATCCTGTTCTTTCTTACCTATAAGGTTGTACTTTAATCCCATGATCTTGAAATTCCAGTGCTTTCTTAACAACAGCTTCATTTTCTTCTGGATAAACTGAGCATGTGCAGTAAACAACTGCTTGAGCTTTAGTAACTATATTTAAAGAAGATATAATTAACATAATGACCCCATTAACCTTAAACAAATAACCTTAAACAAATCTGCTATGTTTCCAAACATCTATTTATTTATACTAATACTGCATGGTTTTTATGGGAATGATTTCCATAGATGCTTGCATGCATTAGTAATGTAGTCTGTGGCCAATAAGTAAAGTAAATCTAACTGGATTGTATGGAAATTGAAAATTCAATCAATGTGACCAACCTAGTTACAAACAGGTTACCATGAGCTTGATACTTCCAGCCACGCTTCTATAAGCTGTATCACATAACCAGTTAAAAGGGCTCTGGAAACACAGACAGGCGTGAATCCCAATTCTGTTACTTCCTGCTGTCTGAACCTGGGAAAATTACTTAAACTCTCAGATTTTTCATCTGTAAAATGAGGTAATGTTACTCATTTATTCACACCTATCAAGCACCTACTATGTGGTAGACACCGTTCTAGCCATTCGAGATACACAGACAAAATCCCTGCCCCTGGGGAGCTTATTTTCCATGTTTTGTTGACATAATAAGACATAAATAAATAGAAAAATTACATCGTATTTTTAAGAGGTGATAAACACTATAGAGAAAAACAAATGGAGAATGGTTAGTTTCTGGAAACAATACTGTAATTTAAAATAGAGAAAACATTAAAAAAAATATACAAAGTTCCTAATCTTCCAATCAGCTTAATTTCATAGCTCATATATATATATATATATATGATATATACACTATCATGTTTAAATTAATGTTTATTAGTAGCACCAACTAAAAGGACAGACCTTTTCTGTGCTTTACACTTTGTCTTATTTCTACTTCATGTATGCTGTTTCTTTATATATTGAATTATCAATACCCTATAATTATCTTTAAACATTTAGAGGTCAGGATTTATTCATACTCATATCCCTAACAACCAGCTTAATGCCTGAACTACAGTAGGCATTTGATAAACATGCACTGATTTAATAAAAGTTTATATAATTTCTCAGAGAATCCTAGATTTCCATATCCATGTGTAGAAGGGCAGTGGTACCCAGTATCTAAATGGTACTCAAATCTAAATGCAGTGATCAAAGCAATAATATAAATACTTGAAGAGCCTTGTTACTCAGATACCAAATCAAGAGATCTGGGCTTTATTTGTAATTGCATCTCTCTATTCTCAATTTAGCACTAAGAGAAATAAGAGTTTGATTAAAATTTAGATTGTAGAAGAGTTGTTAGGGGCAGGCACAGTGACAACAGAAAAATTACATCAAGAAACCAAAGAAAAATAAGAAAATAAAACTGTACAATAATGGATGTACATAATTATTTCACTTCAGCATTAAGAAACTGTTAATTATACTTGCTAGCCTCTGTTAAAATGATAGTAAAGCATATTTTTTGTAGACAGATTAAAAAGGTAAAAATAAATATTGTTAATTGAAAGTGCTAAGATTGAGTGTTTTAGGAAATTCACTTATGGTTCACACCCCACTGCCTAATTATAATAGAGAAATGAAGTATTAATATTTCTAAGGTTTACAACATATTTTAAGGTTGCACTGATGACAAACTTACATTTCATTGCATGTGTTAGCTGTTCATATTGCTGTTGAGCAAGAACATGAAGTTTATCTTCTGACGTGCCTCCTTGAGAGAAATCTTTAAGTAAACCTGTATCTAAAAGCAAATAAATACTTTAAAATATATCACTCTTAGAGGTTTTCCATATATTGCTATTACCGCATTATTTAACTTTTCAGTAATTTTCCCTATTAATAAGAATTTACATGAAAAATATTTATTAAAACTAAGTATAGTATTACAAAAATGCTGACTTAAATATTTAAAAACTAAATTGACAAAACTAACTTTGTTTAATTTTAATTTAATTTTTATTTTTTTCTCCGAGTTCTTATGAGATAGTTGTCCAACTAGCCAACTAAATCATTTATGCATAGAAGAGAAAATGCAGTCAGTCTGGAGACTAATAGAGAAAAAGAGAAGATATTGATTTTCCAAGGTAGAAACTGATGAGTTATCGTAAGATCTGAGTAAGAAAAAACACAAAAGAATATAATTAAAAATATTAACAAAAGAAATTTTGGAAGAAAAAAATTCAGAAAAGCAAATGTATGTCTTCATAACAGATCAAGAAAACAGATCAAGAAACTTTTCATTTCTAATTAATTTTAACATATTTCTCAATAATATTAACTAAAACATGTTGAATGCTACTTTATATAGATTATTTTATTCAATAACCCTTTTAACACTGAGAAAACTGTTGAAACTTACATTGAACAACTTGTTTAAAGTCACATAGCTACTAGTGTAGAGCCAGGATTCTAGCTCAGAAATATGACCACAGAGCCCAAATTGCTAACCTTTGTATTATTCTGCCTCTTGGTAACTCTCTGGACTATGAGAGCCAATTTTTTTTTTTTTTTTACCATATATTTGACTGTTCCCTATTCCAGTAATATCACTAAGGTTAATTAAACTCAATTTCTTCCCAATTTAGTTTTACACTTCACATTTTTCTATCTCTAGGCCAAAATTATCCATCACTTTTTAAAGTACTATACATTATTATACTCTAAAACCATATCAATGACATTTTCATCCCATTTTAAAATAATTACAAGTTGTTAGCAATGACCAACTTCATATATTACTCAATAGTTCTAACAGTTTTCAATGTTAAAATGTTTTCCAAAATGAATTCATGATTGCTTCTCTCCCACCTAGTACCTAAGCCTGATAAGTCTGGATTCATTCCCTAAGTTTATGGCTACTATTTCCACCATGGTCACTAGGTCAGCAGCTCCTTAAGGGCTCTGGCTATTATTGCCTCCTCAGAGTAAGCTTCCTTCAAAAGCCATCATTTTTTCCAAGTTTGCCAAAGACCACTTCTTGTTTTATCCTGTCACCTCAAAATATTACCATTACCTAGGAAACTTTTTACTTTCTCCCTTTTCATCATTTGTAGTTTACCTTGGGCTTTTCTCCCATCCTCTAGTTTATTTTTACTCATGGCTTATTCAGTTCTTCATTCCCACTTCAAGATGGCCCAGGATAGGGCCAGAGTCTCACAGTTCTAAGCTCTGCTTCTCTTAACTGTGATGCTTATTATAGCTGCTGCTATTTCTTCCCCTCCTCTTTCAGTGTCTAATTCTTCTTGGATAATTTCCTAAATTAGCATAGGAATTTTCTCAGCCTACCATTCTCCCACCCGAGTTAGTTATTCTTCTGTTTAACTCTCACTGGAAAGAAATTTTCTATAGTAGGTCAAAATTCCACATGAAAAAGTATAAGTCCAATTAAAGATAAAGTAGTTCAATGGGGGGAAAATATGCTAACTGATCTGAGTTTAAATCCAAGCTTTCCTACTTACTATCTACATGACCTTAGGCAACTTACTAAATTTCTCTGAGTCTTGGATTTTTCCCCTCTGTAAAATAGAGATAATAAAAATAACACTGTACTCAGAAAGTTATTGTGAATATTAAGTGATAGTGCATGTGCACTCCCTACAATGTTGACTAAGACATAGTTGTGCTCAATAAATATTAATTCCTTTCCCTCCATTTTTTCCTCCATTTTTAATTGTGTCCTTGCTAGAAACAGAAAGGTCACTCACCATATTCTGAATATTAGTGGAATGTCTTCCTTGGCTAATATTCAAGTTAACCCTATCTATGCCTTTCAATATAAACAAAGGAATAGAGTAAGGCTCGGTTTCAGTTAATGAGGGGCAATACACTGTGATTAAGACAGTGATCCGAAGTGCCAGCCTCAAAGTCAAAGTGGTTGTGTTTGAATCTGGGCTCTGACACCTACTAGTCAAATGACGCAGTGGGGGCTTCACACTCAGATTCTGTACTTGTAAGATAGAGATAATAAGGCTATTTCATTGAGTTCTTTTCAGGATTTGATGAAATAATCCAAGTACAGCATTTCACTCAGTGCCTTATAAGTGCTCAGTAAATGTAAATGTTTAAAATTTATTAAAGAAGCAAAGAAAATATTCCTAGAATTAATATTTAATCTGAGGTATTCATAGCATAAAACATACATACTGGGGGTTAAGGAAGTCTTGAGTTTGAAAACCTGATTATGACTCAATTAGGATTATATTTAAAATAGAGTTTCTAGAATCAGGCAGCTCTAAATTTGACTCCTAGCTCTGCTACTAACTAGTTGTTTCACCTTATAAAAATGAATTAATCTTTCTGATTCTGTTTTTTTAATCTATAAAATGCCGATAAATTATAATGCCTATATCTTGAACTCTAGAATATGCCAGAATAGCACAATGGCCAGTATCTGTTCTGATTGCCGACATCTTTCCAATTACTAAATATTTTGAATATAACCTGTGCCCATATCTCACAGGATTGGTTAAAGGATTAAATGAGGTAATGGATATAAAGTACACGATAGATAATATTTTATACATGGAAGCTATTAATAAATCAGATATATCTGATATCATTTAAATACTTTTAAATAATTTTATTTTTTAAATTATTATCAACATTTAGAAATTAAAAATTAAAACAAGTACCTTCATGCTCATTTAAAATAAATTCTACTGGATTACTAACACCTAGTCCTGAACAACGAGGTAGCAGCAGAATCACTTTAACTTTCTGTAATCTAATATCTTTTGATTCAATGTTAAGAAATGTCTCATGAAGTATTTCAATATCTGGGAGGAAAACAACATAGAAAAATTAATGTAAAAATATTAATTAAAAGTCAATGCAGTATATAAATATGCCTATTTACCATTGTACATTTTTAAATCTTCAACACCACCAGGTTATTTCAATGTAGTCAAAAAAGAGGACTATTCTTCTCTGATAACTTCCCAAAGTTAATATATGAGTTCTTAGTGTTTTCTCTTCACTTGAGAGAATGATTTTGAGGTTTAAATATTTCTACAAAAAATATAATTGAAGTTTTCCATTCTGAACTTCAGATTCCATTTAAAGCAGTATGCTATATAGGAGGGAAATGGCTTTGGAGGCAGAAATATCAAGTTTGATTCCAACTTCACTATTTACTAGCTATGTGGTTAAATCTCTCAAAGCCTCTGTTTCCTTATCCGTAAAATGAGATAATAATGCCTATTTCACCTAGTGTGGTGAAGACTGAAATTAAGTAGTTAAGCTTAGCATGATGCCTTGTCTACACTAAATGTTCAATAATGGTTATTTCCCTTTCCCATTTTTATCCCCTTTTATAGTCTGTACTCCCCAGAAAAAAAAAAATAGGTATCAGCAGTATTTATGAGGCACAGTGTAAGGTCCCATAGGGACCTTGAAATTTAGCTTAAGGGGGTCTTCTCTCCCTCAAGTTATGATTCGCTATGCCCCTAACTTAAGGCCACCCCTCCACTTCCGCAATGGTTCCCATTTCCCTCACCTGCCAAGGAGTCACTCCTGAAATTGTCCCACCAACCCCATTCCTCTTGCCTGCTCAATTTTTCCCTATTCCTATTCTGTCTCTTTTGAAAAAATTTTTTTATCAAGTGGGCCTTTTCCTTTTTCCCATTTTTAACTTTTTATTGGAAACATTCAAACATATACAAAAATAGACATAATATGTAATAAATTCCCAAGTACTCATGATGGAGCTTCAATAGAGAACCATTCATGCCCAATCATGTTTCATCTATACCTGTACCCACTTCCATCACCCCCATATTATTTTGAATCTATAAATATTTCACCATGTATTTCTAAAAGATAAAAACTCCTTTTCAAATAAAGCCACATGAAATTTTTAAAGATAATTCCTTATTATATTCAAATAATAGCATCCAATCATGGCTCAAATTTCCCAAGTCACAAGTTGAAAATGTTTTACGGTTTGTTTGAATCGAGATCTAAATAAGGTACACATGCTGCAATTGGTTGATATGTCTTATTTTAAACTTCTTTTTATAGGTTCCTTTTTCTTACCATTTATTTCTTAATGAAATTTGGTTATTTGTACTACCAGAGTTTCCCGCAGTCTGGATTTTGCTAACTGCTTCCCTAGAGTGTAGTTTCACATGTTCCTGTCTTCTATGCTTCCTATAAATTAGTAGTTGGATCTTTAGAAGCTTAATTAAATTCAGTGGGTATTTTTTTTACTTTTCTTTATTCCTTTTTTTGTGTGTGAGGAAAGGGGAGCAAAACTACTTCACAAGTGGTATCATATTCATCAACTAATTTGCCTTCGTGGTATCAGCAAATGGGTTAAAATGTAATCACATGATAGTCCTTCCCTTATCCATGGTTTTGCTTGCCACAATTTCAATTACCTGTGGTCAAGCATGGTCCAAAAATACTAAATTTCCCCAACCATCAACATCATCTGCTCCTGACATCCAACCATTGACATTGTCATGGCTCGATGATCCAGGATCACCTAAAGCAGAAGATCCTCCTCTGACATTGCCAGGTCGTTAGTAGCCTAATGCTACATCACAATGCCTACATTACTCACCTCACTCCATTTCAGAATAGAGGTATTTTATCATCTCACATCTCATCACAAGAGGAAAGGTGAGTACAGTACAATAAGATATTTTGAGAGAGGGAGACCACGTCCATATAACTTTATTACAGTATTGTTCTATTTATTATTAGTTATTGTTAATCTCTTACTGTGCCTAGTTTATAAGTTAAACTTTATCATCAGTATGAATGTATAAGAAAATATACTATACACAGGGTTTAGTCCTATCTGTGGTTTTAGGCACCCACTGGGAGTCTTGGAACATACCCTCTATGAGTAAGGGGGGGACTACTGTATTCTGATTCTATCATCCCTTTTTCATTTATTACCTGGAATACTTCTAAAAGGAGAAACTTCCTTTCTTCTACTGCTTGGTTACACAGTGATTCCTATTTTCCCTTGTTAACTAGGTAAAAGGTGGTCAACTACTTGAGAACTCTAATGTGTACACAAGTAATTAACTGCAGAGTAGCCACTACCCACTATGGCTGAGAGAAAATTGAAGAAGGAACTTAGAAAGTCCGAGGAGTGGGGCTCCTGCAAAGCTAAGATTTAGATCTCTGAGAAGAGGGCAAGGCTAACACTGCTAGGACTCTTGCACGGCCACCACAGTCTTGCAGTCTTGCAATGTCTCTCTAGCACCTCCTAATGGCAGAGCCTAGTATTGAGCCAGCAACAGAGAAATGGAGTATGCAGAGTATAGTTCCAGTATCACAAAGTATGGCAAAGTGTGGGTTTGGGGCTAAGAAGCAATAATGTAATTCCTGGCCAGCCTCTGAATCCAGTTTTTCTTGATTCTTATCCCACTTCTCTAGTGGATCCTTTGCTAGATCCCTCTTATTCAACTTCCTGACATCTAACTTACATGTTCAACTTTAGAGATTAACTAATTTTCCAAAGTAGTACAAATTTATAATCCCACCAACGTTGAGTATTGCCGATGCCCCATCCACAAAGCAAAACAAAAATCTGTCAAAAGTTTTTTTAGTTTTTCAGCCTCATTGAGCCTATAATAAGATGTTATCTTTAGTACCAGCATGATCCAATGAAAAACTTTTTAAAAATAAGAAGCCTAAGGGACTCAGCTTCTAATCCTAGATATTATCTTTGTCTCTTAAGCATCGCAATGACTGTGCTCTTATTTATTAAAAGACAATCATTTCTACCACCACTTTAACTAATTGTTTGAACCTAAAAGCTAACTATCAAAAGTATACCAAAGTGCCAATATGTTCATTAATTTAAACTGAAGTTTAACCAATATTAAGCAATAAGAACAGACTGATATAATATGGATTAGTGAGGATTTTAAGCGTATAGTTTTTATATATAGTTTTTTCATCACTAAAAAATAACAAATTCAAACATTTTGAATATTTCTAAATCTTGCAAAACATTAATTATCAAACAAATAAATATTTGTACATACTTTTACATCCCATTTTTGTAAAAAGGTTCTTCAAGTCAGGATGCTTAGCTTGTGATTGTACTCCACACACAAATATTTTTGAGGTATTATTATTCGTTAAGATTGACATATGGGCAACTGTATACCACGAACCGGTATTGACCATTAAGATATCATCATCCATATTTAATAAAGCCTTTACAGAATGAACAGCAAGACTTCGAGACTTGTCCTACAAGATAACGGTATGATTAGAATTTCAAAAGGTTTGACTAAAAGCATGAACTGACTTCTTTTTGCCTTAGATGAAGAAAGTACTTGGAGGAATCTTGAAGATATACCCTAACCCATTTTACTATAAAACATCTTAATACATGTTAAAATACAATGTTAGCAAACTGATAGAAATTGATTTAAAACAAAATACCTAACTTTGTTTAAATTATGACTGTTGTCATTTAACTTTTATGTAGTGATAAGGCAATGCCAAAATCCCAAAAATATGTGATTAATAGATTAATGATTTCCTTCCTTAGCTCCCATTTTTATCCATTCATGAAAACCCACTCATCTGCTACTGCCATTCTTTCTTCCCCACTATGCTGTCATCCAAATTGCTACTAGTTCACAGAGATTAAAAGCTTGTTGACAAGTGTATAAAAGGGGGCTAGACAGATGGGGATTCTGCAGTTGATCTCAGTGCTCAATAGGGTGTCACTATAACATAAGGCCAAGAGATTCTGCCCAAGAATATGGGTGCAGTGAAGGGATAAACCTTAGAAGACTAAGGTGAATGACATAGAAATTGAAATCTAAGGACATAGAAATTAATTTAACTTAATTTTTGGACCTTTTATCTTTCATTTTATTGAAACCACATTATACCTCACATTTTCTTCCTCATTGATAGACATTATATTCCTCTTACAATTAAAGCTGTAAGACTATATTAAAGAGATAATGGGAAAGTATTACATATTGCATTTTCAAATGCAGGAAGGCACTAGCATCTTCTCCAGAGATGGAAGAAAGAAAAGATATTCTTGTACCTTCTCTTGAATCTTCCCTTGAGAGAGAAAAATATAGCTGGCGGGAACACAAGTCTCCCATCTATGAAATCTGGGGAGAATAGGTTTCTTACAACTTCACGAGACAAAGATGCCAAAGTATAATAAGAACACTGATTGTAGAAATATTAACTTTATTCAAGGTAAAAATGAGAGCTTATAAACTTCCCTGATAATCTATAAAAAATATAATCAGTGTGTTAGGGTTTAAGTGGAGGGATTCTTTGGATAAGTAGGATTATTGAAAATCACAATGAATGTAAATGTTAACTTACCTGAAATATCAGTTTATAATCTTTAAAAAGATCTATATTTAGAAGATCATTTTTAAGATGAGATGGAAAAATTAAGACATCATAGCAATGTTGGTCCACAGCAAAGATTTTATCATCAATATGCAGTACAGATTTAACTTTATTATAGCCTTTTTTCTTCAAACTATGATAAACTTCTTCAGGGCTGTAAATATACAATATTAGGTTGTAATTAAAATACATTAAAAATGTATTTAGCACTAGCATCTTTTTCCTACAATAAAAATATCACTGCATATAGTGCATCTAATGGAACTTACAATTTTAGCCAATAGTGAGTTAAAAAATCAAAACAGAAAAGTTATCATATTTATGTAATTACTTTTGGTAATTCGGTGGTAAGATCCTGACTAAACTATAATTCTCCAATACTCCCCCAGATGTGGCCCCACCCATTAAAAAGGTAATATTTCTTACCACGTTATTTTGAAAGGTTAGCAATTTAAAATATGAATAAAGAATTTGATTAAACTCTTACCTGATTTTACAAGTATTTATCCAAGCATAAAGTGGTAAAGTGGAGGCCCTTAGTTCCTGGTTCCTAACTGTTTCTGGAAGAATGTTGTAAATTGAAAGGGCATCATGTTTGATTCGACATCTTGCCAATGCTGCAGCCAATTTTGTCTTAAAACTAGAGACAGAAAATCCATTCTTGGTAACACTGCATTCAAGACTAAAATATTCCACTAAAAATGTTAACAAATTAAATATTAACAGATTTCAATTTTTAACAATCCTTCAATCATTCTATTTCAAATCTTGGTAGTCTAAAATAAAAATGTGCCATATTTGAAAATAGAAATCTAATAATCCTGCTTCCTTTTTTTTGGTTTTTGCTGCCCCTGTATAGTTGTGCATCTCTTCAGATATTTATATCAATTATGGATTGACAGATCTGATGTAGTAAAAGAGATAGGATTTAGAGTCAGACAAATCTGAAGTTAAATTTAGGTTCTGTCAATTACTAGCTGTGTGACTTCAAGATGGCAACAATGTAGTCTTGATAAGATTAAAAACCTTTCATGAATCTGTATCAAACCCTTCCCACTACTGATAATCTCATGCCTCAAAGTTCCAAATAACAGAAAAGAAACACAAGAATTGGTTAGCATCGCCATGAAGACCCAATCATTTTTCTTGATCTCATAGCCCAAATTTTTAAAAATGAGAATATGGAACTTAATTGACCCATATTTAATCATTTTCACAGTAGAAATCTAATTGAATAATAAATCACAAGGACAACCTTGAATGAGAAATGGGGAAGAGATGCCACAAGAGTCGAGTACAACCAGAGTGGTGTGTGTGGCTGCGCAAAGTAGTGTATGTGCCTGCCAAAAGCCTAACAAAATCAAGCTTATTATCTATCTACTCAGTAGAATGAGAATTTTTCACCTAAGAATATGTGAATATGCATACTTGCATGAGAGAGTGGAGAGTGGGGAGGAGAAGGAGAGAGGGAGAGAGAGGGAGAGAATGAGCATAGGGGTACTTGGGGAGGATAGGAAGGGTTATCAAACATTAAGCCTTCAAGGGCTATGATAAAATAAGATTTGTGTAATGTTATGTCCTAATGTCACAGAATTACAGTAAGGGATACTAAAAACAATTACATAATACATTAACATACATCAAAGAATAAATTAATATAAAGGAGGTGAGTTACTGTTCTATATTATATATGAGTACAGGCTATTTTTGATTTAACAGTCTTTCCAAATACTTACGTAGTTCAGTAGCATTACCATAATTAATACTACTGACTGAATTATTTAATCATGAAACAGATTAGTGTATGAAGCCTAGAAAAATATACATGTTGTATATACGGGGTGAGTACAAGAAAAAATAATTTTCAAAATTTCCAGATAGCAAATTTCAAACTCTAAATTTTATTATAATTTAATCACACAAAAATAAAGTATATATACAGTTATACAGATTTTTATATAAATATACAATATCAGATTGAGGACAAAGGTCAAATCTAAATGCTATTAGGATAACTAGACATACTACTTGTGTAAATGAAATATCCTGTAGTTACTAAAAAAACTTCTTCCATAGCTGTAAGGCAGACTGCAATGATAAAAATGGAAGCAAAAATAGGCTTTTCCAACATTCTTGATCCAGAAGTCCATCTCCTGCTACAATTCGAATGTTATCACAGAAAGTTGCTCAATTATCTTTTACCAGCATTCCTGTTGTACATATAGCCAGAGCTTTCTTTTTGTATATTAAATTGTAGTTATGTAATTCCTAATCTTAAACATCTCACAAATATCTCACGGCTACAACTGACATGGGATATGACTGTGTCATACCTTTAATCTTCCAGAGTACTTCAGCCAAGCCTCACTATCCTAAGTAGAAAGAGTAATAGCATATAAATGGTTAAAGCTTGGGCACTGGAGTCAGCCTTCCTGAAATTTAAATTCTGGCTACTGCCCTTTCTAGGTCTACGGCATTAGATAGGTTCCTTTCTGTGCTTCAATTTTCCCAGTTGTAAAAATACAGTTTGGTAACGGCATCCACCTCATAAGGCTGTTATGTAAAGAGCTTCTTGTTAACAGTAATTAATACATATTAAGTGCTCAATAAATGTAAGCTATTAACATTACTCCATTACCTGAGTCCTTTGGTCTGAGCCTTCAATGATTTAAATGAAACTACTTGAATTTCTCATAACAATACAAAATTGGATATCCTACTGACAACTGTTTCAAATTATTCACTGGGTAAAAGTCTTCCTACAATATTGTTGTTGTTGCTATATTGTGAGTTCCATTAAGCAACAGCATAATAACAAAAGCTCTAACAACAGTAGCGCTTAACATTTATTGACCGTTTACTATGCGTCTGGTTCTAACCTAAGCATTTTACATACATTAATTTAATTAGTTGTCTCCGCCAATTTTAATTGTTATCGCCATAGTAGGTTTCTGCTGATATTTAGGATAAACGACAAAACAAAATGAAAACATATTAGTTTGTTCTTAACTAAACAAAAGTTTTCAATTTGGCAAAGCAGTGGGTTCTTATCTACTTTTGGAATTTTCTCATTTGATACATTATTTTTTAAAGAGCTATAAACAAAGCCAAGTAAATAATAGCTGTTTCAAATGAAGTTTAATTTCTGTATGTGCTAAAATTACTAGGAATTTTTCATAATTTTCCAAATACTTACAAATTGGATCTTGCAATTCAAGATTTCAAAAACAATTTGATTTTAAACAGAACATTTAACCTGTTCAAGACTATAAAGGAACTTAAGAAACTTAGGAACTTTTATGTTTTTCTCTATAACTTTTAACACTTACCTACACATTATACTGCATAGAATTTTACCAATGAAAATAATAATAAAGATTTCATATAAAACATCCTTTTCACTTTTATAGTTACCTGTTAAGAAGGTTCTCTACTTCTTGAACTTCTGCTACGGACTCTTCGTTATCAGAAAGGAAACGAGCTTGAAATTTTCTATCTTGAAAATCATACAGCATCACAATAATTAGACTGCTCAAATGATCTGGCTACCAAGGGGAAACACACATGAAGAAAAGTATTCAAACAATATCTAATAGCAATAATTTCCATTTCATTATTTTCATAAGAGAGCCAGGAAGATGACTATTTTTACATAGTCTGGTTGGATTGAGAGTTAAAGACTTCAAAACAGAAAAAAAATTAAAAGTCCAGTAAAAACTTAACCTTTCAAAATAGACAATTTTGGGTATGTTCATCAAAATGAAAGGACTAAAGTCAGTCTTAGAAGTATTACAAGTAGGAAAGAGTTAAGGATATATTTTGAAGAAGTCTCAGCTTTAAGCAAATTAGTTATGACTTAAATCTGAAAGCTTTTTAGTACTTTCTAAATAACAATCATGAGACAGCTAATGATATAAAAGTTGTCTACTTACTATTGTGGTACTTGGGAAGATATAGCTATCTATTAATATAGTTTCTAAAATATCTTGATCTGCAAAACAAGAAAAATGTCTGTTACTGAATATACCAAAGCTGAAAATAAAAGTTTTGGAATCAAAATACACTTTAGACAAAACACTTTTACTTTCATATCTGAAATATACTTCAATTCTTGAAAAAGATTTAAATTATAATGACATGATGAAATATTTGTAATCTTTATAAATCCTGGATCCTTATGACCCATGCTCCACATGGAATCAGTCAAAGGCACATTATCTGAATAGTTCAAGTATTAATAAAGAAATTCCAACCTTTATGTCTTTTGAAAAATATCAAAACAAATCTAATTCATAATGTCTTATCCTTTTTATGTGTTACTGGATTCAACTTGCTAATATTTTATTTAGGATTTTTGTTCTCTTTATGCTCATGAGAGATGTTGATCTATAATTTATTTTTTTGTAATATCCTTGTCAATGTTGGAATTACTGTTATGCTGGCCTTATAAAATGAGTGGGAAAAGTTCTATTCTCTTGAAGAATTTGTGTTACATTGGTATTATTTCTTAGTTTGTAGAACTCACTACTGAAGACACTGATAAGATAAAATGACACTTAATCTAAGACCCAAATGACAATGAGCTAATAATTTGCCATGTAAAAAGCATTCCAAGCAGAGGGATAACTGCAAAGGTACTAAGTGGAAACAAATGAATATACTTAAAAATCTCCACAGGATACAAGTATTCCTTTCGCTATAACTACTTAAGCTATATATACATCATATACCAAATGCTTTAATCAGTGGAACAGTAAGCTAGGCTAGCTTCAATTCATTCAGCATTTACAGGACACCTACCATATGCACATTCAATTTCAGTTTTGATTTAGGGGATGGGAAAACTAAGAAGTGACTAACTTGTGAGCACAGACTCCAGTTTTCATAGGAAGTCCTTTGGGAATCATTATCCATATTTTAGCTACCAATTATGGCTATATTGTACAAGATAATATCCCCATTTCACTTATAAGGAAGATGAAGTTTAGAGTTTCATACCCTTAGTACTTGCAAACCGATTCCTATCTACTTCATAGTTTCTCAGCATGAGTCCCAATTTTGTCACAGTATATAGAGGCATCATAAGAATGAAGGACTTCTAAGATAGCAGACTTGCACAGGCTGTAGAACTTTGAGCAATGGAGAGGCAGAATGAATGTAAAGAAAACAAAACACAATTTTGCCAACACTGGATTTTTTCCTCCTCGGGTTCTTGTCAAATACCATCTTCAGACTGCCTTTGATATTGTACAGAATGAATTACTTTTGTATATGTACAATTAACATAACATTTTGCATAGTAATATCCACATTAATAATAGTTGCATACTTTTGATAGTACTTTCTATATGCTAGACATTGTTCCAAGTGCTTTCCATACATTAATTCATTTAATTCTCATAACAACCTTATGATTGAGGTATCATCGTTAACCTATTTTACAGATTGGGAAATGAGGCACAGAATGGTGAAGTAAGATGTTCATAGTAACACAGCAAATTGCAGATCAGGGGTTGAAATCCAGACAATCTGGCACCAAAGTGCATGCTCTTCATAACACAGTGCTGCCTTTCCTTATCTTACTTTTCTAAGAAACCAGAGTGGCTAAATAAAACACTGCTGATGCCTGATCTGGGTAATCAGGACTTACTTGAAGATCGTAAATCTTGCCTATCCTAGTTCAGCGCAATAGCTCCATAGCTCCAATTGTCTCTTGTCTCCCACTAATTAAAGCCTTTTCTCTTTAATCTGTTGAAGGGAACTCTTAATTCCCATTCCTCATGTTTTCAATGTGGAAGGCCTTCCCTAGAGAAATATAGCTGGACTCTTCCAACCCCTTACCACTTCCTATGAAAGAAAAATTGAGTTTGATTGGTGAAACTGGAAAAAGGGACTAGAGTACACCTCTCACCTTCCTCCCTCCCGCTCTCCCTCTCTTCCTTTCTCTCTCCCCATCCATCTACTCCCCTCTCTGCCAGCTTATCTGCAGGAGGGATACATGAATTCCAGGCTGCTCTTTGCCACGTGCCTTCTGCGAGTTGGGGTGGAGGGGTTTGCGCTTCTTCAGCTGAGCCTTGTCAGTGGTCTCCAAACTTTCTGGCACCAGGGACCAGTGTTCCTATGAGAATCGAATGTCTGATGATCTGAGGTAGAGCTGAGGCAGTGATGCTAGTGCTGAGAAACGGCTGCAAATACAGACGAAGCTACACTTGCTCACCAGCTGCTCACTTCCTGCTGTGCAGCGCAGTTCCTAACAGGCCTGAGGCCCCAGGGTTGGGAACCCCTGGGTTAGATAGAAGTCTCTAATTCAGAAGTAAAGTATTTGCAAGCCACTTGATTGGAGATCTAAAGCCATATCCCCAAACATCTTTTCCCTCTCTCTCAACTGGTTCCAAATGAAGGGAGAGTGCTATTTATAGGACCCCTAAAACTCACATAGTCCATCTGGTCATCCTTTCCATTCTGGAAGAAAAATGGAAGATGTTTCTTCTTTTGACTCTTTCCTAGGTTCTCCCTCTCTATTTTTATTATGTATTCATAGTTTCCTTCATAGGAGGGACCTCTAGAACCTTCACTTCAAGAATGTCAAGGCCCTCCTATGATTGTAAGACATAGATAGGGTTTTATATGTATGGAAGGAGGGAACCAACAAAATTATTCAAGTCTTTTTGGCAAAATTAGTAAGAGCCACTAACATTTTTGAAAGAAGATCTGAGAGAAGTAAATACCAGGGAAAAGAAACTGGCATCACCAAATACAAAATCGTTATACAGTTAAAATGAAACAATGTAGAAACAAACAAAAAAAAAACTAGAATTAGGCATGAGATTGCTATTCTACCATCATTTCGAACAGATAAAACACTTTCTCTTTTTATCTTTCTTCCTGCTCAGTATCATTTAATCTCTTCTTGTGCTTCCCTCAAATTTTCACCTGCATCATTTAATCTCTTCTTGAGCTTCCCACAAATTTTCACCTGCAAAATGAGAATCTTCCATCTCAAGGGACTGGTATATCAAATGATATAAATTGTTTTGTGAATTACAAAGAGCTGTGTAAATATAAGTTATTATTGTCATTCAAGAAAATTGCTTTTAACCTCTTAGGGTGACAACCAGAGCTAAAGAGGTTATTGATCTAGATCATTTTTCTAATAATTCACTGTGCAATCAAGAATTAACTAAGCAGGCCCGGGTGGCCAAACCTTGCACATTCCAAAAAACGGTTTTGCCCTTGATATAACCTCTATAAACCGTTAGAATATCTTGCCGTCTGATACAAGTCTTTTTCACCTAGGGCCTTGGGCAACATGGTATCAGTTTGACTTCAGGAAAAAGAGAGATTAAGGTCAGCCACAGGGCTCTCCTTGTTTTTACATGACTGATCCCCAACAAAAACCCGAGACAACGGCTTGGGTGAGCTTCTCTGGTTGACAATACTTCGTGTGTGTTGTCATACATTGTTGCTGGGAGAATTAAGCACCATCCATATGATTCCATTGAGAAGAGACAATAGGAAGCTTGAATCGGTCTCTCCTGGACTCTACCATACATACCCTTTTCTGGTGCTGATTTACTCTCTAACCTTTCACTGTAATAACCATGAGTATAACAGCTTTGCTGAGTTCTGTGAGTCCTTGTGAAATCATTGACCCTAAGGGTGTCTTAGAGACTCCCAACTACAATTACTAAATCCTAAAACCATAACCAAACCATACATTAAGCATTTACAAGGTTTTTCACTGACAGGTTAGATGATTCTGAAATGACCAGGTTAATGCCACAGCCAGTTCCTGGGACTCAATGTTCACCAACTACCACATACTGCTAGAGAGGTTAGAGAAAGAATTAGCCCAGGAATAAGATAAAAAATTTCAGGGACATTTCTTTCCTCAAAGTTTTTTATTTTTTCCTTTATTTGTTGTTCGTTAATTTATTTTTTAAGAAATCCTTTTGCCAGTTTTTTTTTTTTAATATTTCGTATTCCTTGAAACATCTAGAGATTCTTTGAAAAAATAAATTAGCTTCTAGTACTTTACTTCTTTACAGAAGTCAAACAATAGGAATAGGCTACTCTTCATTACCTCCTTTAGCAGAAAAGTGATCTTGGGGCTATTTAGTAAAACAGGAATAATGGCTGTCTTTACTTCAAAAAACATTATACCAAGCCCTTTAAACTTTTAAAAGGTTAATCAGATAAATATACTCTCTGCATATACACAAAGAGGGACATCAACAAAGGAGCAAACAATAAAAGTGAAAAACATAAAACACAACTAAAGGAATATACTTAACACTTGTATAATTAAGGAATTTTTTGTCATTTTTTTCTTCCCCTTGTATTTCCTAAAAAAAAAAATATATAGTAATATGATCAAATTACCTGTTCACAAAATCACTAATAAAAGGGACCATTACCCAAGCTTTCTTTAACTTGTACATTAACCTTTACAGCTTTGCTGCTCCTAAAAAAACCTGAGGAAAGAAATCCTGAGGTTTTTTTTCTGAACGGTGATTCTCTGAACTTATACTGTATAAACCAAATGTGAGTTAACAAAATATCATGTGAAAATATTGATAAAACACTAATAAATGCAGAAAGTAAATGTGAAATAAATGATAGCTTCCAATATTTTAAAGCAAAATATCAGGCTCTTAATTATTTTGGAAAACCACTGCATTTAGGAATTCTGGTTTTATTCCATTTGAACATTCAGATGTTATATAGATAATTCAAGCAATATATTATTATTGTAAGAAAGTATCTGTACCAATTAAACACCAAAGCCAACTTATTTTAGAATTGGAAGTTATAAAAATGAACATTTCAAACAAAAGCAGGTTTGTAAAGGCAATAATTTATCTAAATGGGATTTTCTGGGTCATTGAAAAATATCAAGTAGTAATAAGACCCTTTCATAAAACAAAAATAAAGATTGAAAAAAAAGATAAATCTACTACACACATGACCATAACATGACCATCTAGTTAGTACATAATTTTTCATAAAATAATTTCAAGCTTTTAGAATTGATTTCTAAAGGTAAGATTCAATATTCTATTAAGAAAACAAATTGTCTATAATAGAGTTTTGGCATTAATATTAAATGCCAACTAATCAACATATATGCCCAGTCTGCATTTCATTCTTGCAAGGAGAAATAGAAAAATGTTCATTTGACTGATTATTTAAAGTGCAACACTTTGGTTGGTCTTTAAAAATATATTTTTTAAAGGGGGT